ATTCCTGCTAATTGTGCAGGTTGATGATGCATTTGAAGAAGGAAGGTTTAGAACCCCAGAAGGCTGCACATCTGTTACACTAAAACAACTAATCACCTCTTAAATTTTGTGGTGGTGTGACAGTTCACACTTAAGCAAGATTTCACATTATTAAATATCTAAGAATATGAAACCTGAGTTAAATATTAATAAAAAGTAACCTCTTTTTTTTTGTAAAGCAACATAATTATATATCAATTTTGACACTTGTCTGGTTGCCTTGGAAGCAAAGGAAAAAGAAAAAAAGAAAAGGAAGGAGCTTGAGTGAGAAGAAAAGGAGAGTATTTGTCACACCGAGTAATTTCTATTCTGTCAGGATTTTTACACAAAAGGACCTATGTATAAGGAACTTCCCCTTCCATCAAGGTATGCACTTCCTTCTGTAGAGAAATGTAAGGTTAGAAAAGCTCTCAAATTCTGAGGAGCTGAACAGAGAGACAGAAAGTGCCTTTCTCCTGAAGCCATCACTGTACGTTTTCAGGAGCTGCTCCCTATCTGAACTTCTAGAAGCTTGCTACAGGAGCAGTCAGTCTGCAGACAAACCTTTCTAGAATGGAAGTGACGATCAGCTCTTTTTCTTTATTGTCCTTTATAAGAATAACCAGAATAATTCTGGTAAAAGAATAATTCTTTTCTAAGAATTTATAACCATAACATCCATTACTGTAAGAGTGAACATGTCGGAAGAAGACAAAAGGCAAGATAAATGTTTTATTCCATGGTCTGCTAAGATTATACATAGGTTTATCTGTCTCCGTATACATATATAGGTCTTGTAAGCTTTTTTTAAGTGAATTCAGTGGTCTTAAAAATATTGCAGTTATTCTAATTATAAAAAATGTGTGTGTCACTTAAAGCCTGCATGCAATTTAGAGGGACCGCAGCCTTTTGTACCTTACAGGTCATGAATAGTTACTGTTGTCAGATTTAAAGTGTACGAGAAGCAGTTACAGTATGACGAGTTCCGTGCTGCAAGTATGGGTGTGTGCTCACTGCGAACGGCAGGATTATGGTTCTCTCCTCCCTTCAGAAATATGTATAAAAATACATACATATATCTGACTAGCAGTGGAATTCATGCTGTACATGTGATGCCAGTAACACCCCACTTGATTTCTTAACGGTGGTTCTTAGCAGTGCACAGACATTGGACAGAGGAGCCATTTGTGTTACAGGTTATCAGAATACAAATAATTTTCATTTATTTTTTGACAGCTGAAGAATGAGAAAAACCCAGCTAAACAAAAATCTGATAAAGGATGTGGTTGTATGCAGAATCAGCTCTATAAAGGTCTAAATTTGGTTGGTAGCTGGAGCCTAAAATCTTAGCAAGCAGTGAAATAAGGCCATTATATTGCCAGTTTTAGCCACTGGTGAATACAGAAGGGGAAACTGTACACTGGCTGCTTCTTATGCCCTTTTAAAATATAAGTTCAGGCACTTTTTAAAAGTCTTTATACAAAAGCACTATTTTTGGTTTTTTAATCAGTATTTTTTTTACTTTGGAAATATTTTGATCACTTCTGGTTATTCAGCAATACGAAGTAGCTGTAATTTCCATGGTTTTTTGGAAAAAAGAAAAGGCCTTATTTTTGTTTATTAACAGTGTATATAAATGAGTTCCTTGCATCCTAAAATGTGTACAACCCAACTTTTCTTTTATAAGCGTTGTAAAAGGATTTATTAGCAGATTAGGTCTATGGTCTACCAGTATGGTGAAACCATAGTGACACCCTTCAAAGAGGAATTACTTTTGTGTACACTTTTAGCTGCCTTGCTCTTTGAACTCTGTTGTGCCAAGGATTGTTTGTCTGGATCTTTTCCTTAGTTATAATATTGTCCCTTTTCTTCTTCGATAATTGGAAAAGTTGCCTTTTTCAGTTTGAAATATTTAAAAAAAAGGAAGGAGGTTAATTTTCTGCATCTGCTGAACAGATACATAATCATATATATGTCATCACTATTGATGGATAGAGGAAAATAGTGAGAATTCAAACTTTAAGGGGTGATCTGAAGAACAGGAGATGCTAGAAGATGAACAAGTACGATTCCGTGAGTGACATTAATTCCCTGTTCCCCTAGATCTGTGAAAAAGATCATAGAAACCTAACTCACTCTTTTATTTCGCTCTTGATGTAGTTTTCTGTAGACAGAGTTATGGGATGCAGTACTGGAGCCAGGAAATAAGAAGGAAAAGTGATGGTCAGCTTGACCAGTGGGAGCTTAGCGTCAAGTTTTATCTGGCATCCATGTATATTATATGTATGCCTGGAAGCTCACTTGGCCTAGACAGAATAAGAAATTGTTCAGAAAAGAACTAACTTCCCATTCTGGAAAAAGCTAATTTTTTTTAATCTTCTGAAATAAAAAAGTACTGCATATTGTTAAGTGAATCTCTCATAGTTATCCGCTTTTATATAGATTTGTATTTCTAAAGTGAAATAGCCAGTAGAAATAGCTAATGTTGTGCTACAAGAGGGGCCTTTCTTAAAGCAAAGTGTTAAATCCATACATAGTTCTGATGGCATATAATGAATGCTCATGCAAAATACTGTATCCCTGGACGACTGGTGACTAGGAAACAAAACCTATAATAAAATCACTGTGGACACCTTATTTTTTTTCCCCCAAAGACTGACACAGAGGAAGCCAAAAATTTGGGATTACTCAGTGAATAAACACTGTGAGAAATGGACTGAAAAAAATCTAACGCATCCTCTTGGTTTTACTGGCTATTCAGTATTTATAAAGTGGGCCTGCTTATTACAGATGATTTGTAATGATTTGACAGTAGCAGTAATACCATGTGCTTTTCATTTTTTAGTTCTCTCATGACTGGGGGAAGGGAAAGCAGAGATAGTTTTTAATATTTTTTCATATAGACAGAGGTTAATACTGCAAGTGGATTTTCTAGATACCTAGTTTAAGAGTGATTAGTATTTTAATAAAATATCAAAGATGATACAGATCAGCTGGGGAAGGGGTGAAAATCTACAATTGCTCACAGAAATCCCTAATGCCTACAGGATAATTGTGAACTTCTGAAAATTACTTGGAGTGTTTTTTAGCTGTGTATGTTGTGTAAGCCATTTATATGCTCCTTTCTTGCATTCCTTCCACGCATGATGGACACGTTCCTCCCCAGACTGTGCTACAGTAGATTATTTGTGGGAGTCATTAGGGTAGGATTTCCTTCCTTTTTAGCAGCTAGAAGACCGAATCACCTGTGACCTTTTGGAGTTCTGGGGATGGTGCTGTGACGATAGCTTGAACTCTGCATGTGTGCAGAGACACATGTAGTGGACGCACCTTTTTCCCCGAGAGCGCTTCCAAGCTGTGTGTATGTAACAGAATCTTTCTCAGGGGTTTGGTACACTTCTGTGAGTAGCTTTAATTTATTTTTCTTATTAAAATGTTTCCAGCAGCTGTACTTACAGTGAATCGGTATGTTTTGCAAATGGGAATTACAAAAAATGTACCTCAGCGTGGTACAATGTAGACATTATTTCTGCGCTTCCTTAGAGTAGCTGATTTTATAGTTTAAAGATTTGTTGATACTGGAAGGTCTATTGAGATGCAAAAATGTTCCTTTTTTTGGGTAGCACATTGGCAGCCAGTGGACTCCAGGCCAGACAGATTGTTTAATGCTTTGACAACGCAGATCTTGGACAGCAGGAACTTTTTGCTAAACTGATTTTAAATGAAGTGTCCTGGTTTTGTATGTGTGGACACTGCAGAACAAAGTTTTCCACAAAGTTGGGAATTGCAGCCTGAGCCTTCAGACCTATACACAGACCTACTTAGCCCATCTAAAGGTCCTGGCAAACACTGCTGCCTCACATCGTAGTTTAGCCGATGCAGATGCAAAACAGCAGAGATCAGTGTGTCCTGCAGTGCCACATAGACGTGAAGGCAACAGAGAGATGTCTGTGTATTAATCATAATTAATATAATGGAGTGATTTATGTATGGTCAGAGGGAGAAATATTGTCAAGTTATTGAAAATGTGCTGGTTGATTTGTATCAAAGGCAGACGGCAGGCTGTAGCGTTAATTATCTAACTGAAGTTATCTTAACCTTTGCTATGAGCTTTTTATATGGGGCAAAGGATAAAATCAGCTTTTCTATTAAATTGAGATTGTTTTGCACCATAATGACTGGGCTATTTACACACTACAGGTAATCATGGCATTTCAAGAAAGTTTTCATTTACTTTAAGAAGTTATTTTCTTTTTGTCTGTGATATTTGCATTTCTGATATTTCATATAGTGCTTTGTCTAGAGCTGGTTGTATGGCTTTAAGTTTGGAGGAGTCAGGAAATGAGAAAAAGTTACTTCCCCTCTTTTGATAGCAACATCTTAATGGTGTGTCTACAGGATTAAATTTAATGCATGAAATTGCATCATACATCTTACATTTAAGTTGGGGTAAGTCTTGGATGCTGCATCTCATACCTCAGCCACTTTCACAGAATCACATGGTAGGGCTTGGAAGGGACTTCTGAAGATCATCCAGTCCAACCCCCCTGCCAGAGCAGGATCACCCAGACCACGTCACACAGGAACGCATCCAGGCGGGTTTTGAATGTCTCCAGAGAAGGAGACTCTACAACCTCTCTGGCAGCCTGGTCCAGTGCTCTGTCACCCTCACAGTGAAAAAGTTTTTCCTTATGTCTAGGTTGAACCTCCTGTATACTGGTTTGTGACCATTG